CACAGAAAAGTAATATCCAGTTTTATTTCCCATAAGATAAACTCGTGTCATAATTATCCACCACAGGTAATTTTTTTATAGCCATGAAAAGTAAGTAACGAGGGGTGAAAACACATAGTTCATCTCCATTGGTCTGCTACCAACATCAATCAAAGTTTCCACCCTAACTATCATATTACTTTAGAAATGCACCTTTTCGTGAAATGAAACGCCACCCCACACACGTGTCCCCATAAAGAGTTAACAAGGCATTTTTGGGTTATTTAGTTCCATGTTGTCTTGACATTAAGGTGCGCACCCCCCTTTGAAAAATCTTAGCTCTGCCCCTGATTGCTTTTTAAACGTTATTATGTTACATCCTAATTAATTTTTAGTGTGTAAAAGCCTGCAGGAGCTGCTGCTGTGTCCAGTGTGGCGAATCCAAGAGTATGTTACTCTGCTTCAGGCTCTGACCTCACAGACACGACCCGGTCATCCCGACTACTCAGACCTCTGCTCCGCCCTCAACACGATGCTGCAGTTCAGAACATTCATTCAGCAGGTAGAAGAGCTTGGATCCATCTTAATGCATCATTTCATACTTCTCTGTTATTTATTTTTTTTTTTGCTTTTTGATGATGTCTTGTTTTAGTTAAAGGGAAACTCAGAGGCAGGCAGGCGGCTGGAGGAGACACAGAAACTGATACAGGGCTGTCCGGTCAGAAGACACAGATTAATTCTTTATGACTTGGTAGAGAGAAAAAAAAAAGTCACACCTTGAATAATTTCCTATTTATAATTGTTTTTTATATTTCTATTTTCAGAACCTTAATGAAGGAAACAGGCATCTCATAATAACGCAGGACGCCATGCTGCTCAAGAGCCCGGATGAACAGATTCCAGATTCACTGAGGTAATTATAAAGTCAGAATTCTTCCAAAAGGGAAACAACATAACTATTACAGCAATTCTATTTAAAACTAACACACAAAAGCTGAAATAAGTAATGTTCGTCTATTTTCATAGAATCAATTGTGACCCAGATATTTTAGTTGCACATGCACAAATGAGCTGTATGTAATTATTGTGCTACTGGTATAGATCAGGTAGTGACAATGCTAATGTTATTATTGAAAAGTTTTGCTAAAATTACTGTCACTACCCGATCCGTACTGGTAGCATGATCCGTACCATCAGCTCATTTGTGTATGTGCAACCAGATATACATCTGGGACGCTTTGTAAAAAATATCTAAATTAAGTTTTTCCCTCCCTAAAAATAGTAACTGTACTAAACTATAATGTATTAAATGTGAATAATGTATTTCCTGAGAAAATAAATGCTGTTTTCTCCCTTACCTGTGCCCGATCTGTGCTACTTCCGGGTGCAAACTTTTTCGGCTTTGGATTTAAACATAAATCTTGACTTTATGTTTTATGTTTTCCTTTCATGTTAACGTGATGGTAAAAATGCATAATCTAAAGAAAGAAACAACTAAAATGCACATAAACATGGTTTAATCATATTTTGCCGGACTACTCTGAGCATATCCGATGATGATGTCAGACAAGCAGCATGGGGAAAATGTAAAAAAGCACAAAATGTCAGAGAAAAGTTATAGAAACTTTTTTAAAGATGTGTATTAGCATTATTCAGTGATTTTGGGGTAGAAATAAGTGCTTTTAGTACTATTATTACATTATTTTTTATGGTGACCTGCATAAATATCTGTAGCCTGACGTAGTCCTACTCAATTCTAGTCAGAATATGAGTCTGATACTGCTCCATAGAGCTGTGATTATGGGGCATGATTCGAATGAACCAGGAAAAAAAAATGCCTCTGCACTCAATTGGATAGACCTACAACCAATAAGAGCAACGGAGTGCGTGACATATGTTAAGCGACGCATAGTTGTTGTCAACAAAAATCAAAGCGTGCAGTTGCATGCCTAGAATAAGAAGATGAGCCTTGATCGCGTTTCTCTGTTCCTCTTTTAAAATTAATTTGCTGTCGATATCTT